AGAGAGAGAGAGAGAGAGAGAAAATAACTTTCTTAAGGAAATATAAGGTGCTAAACAAACAAAATGTTACCTCCTTCAGCTCAAAATCAACAATACGTATGAAAACTCTTCGAGCTCTGAAGGTGCAAAGTAGATCGCTAAGTAAGCACACTCATACATATAATTCTCTCTCTTCTGACATAATTCAAGTAGAGTTTTAGCATGATCTCCAAAACGTAGGTGAAAATTCGTGGGTGGGGCTATTTATAGAGTTTTAGAAGGGCTTTATTGAAATTTCGGGTGAAAAAGAGAATCCCAGAAAACTCAAGAAAAAGGCGAGATTTGATTTCAAGTTGCACCTTAAAGATAGACCCAAGTGGGCCCCAAGGATGCAACAAGTGTACATGAAGTCTTGAAGTGGCGCCAAGTGTCCTAACAGCTAGCTGACTCGTTGAGGCGCTAATCGAAATCGCCGTCTCCATTGATCTGAAAAAAGGGGCGTGCAATATCAAATCGCGCCTTATTTTTACATGTTTGTTTGCATACAAAACATGGGCCTTAGAGTGCTGCCACTGTTTGCAAGTGGACATGTGTCTCAACAGTAAGTTGTTTTGTTGGGGCACGATTTGAAGTCACGCCTTGTTTGCAAAGTCACGTACTAGGGTTTTATTTGAAGTTGCACCCCGACTTATTATGTTTGTTACAATGCAAGACATGGACCCTACAAGTAAGCCACGTATTACGAATAACATTCGAGTGATGCCACGTATATTAACAATCATGTACAAAGTAGGGCACGATTTTGAATGGCACCTTATCTTTAGTTTACTTAGAAAAATAAGGTGCAACTTGAAGTTGCGCCGTGAGCGCCTTTTCTTTTGTGTTGCTGGCAAATAAAGTGCAACTTGAAGTCGAGCCCTGAGGCGCAACTTCAAAGAGCTCCTTGATCCAAATAGCGCCCTGTTTGAGGTGCCATTTTAGAGAGCGCCCTTTCTCTAGGTATGTGCCAATTGAGAGTTGAAGTGGTGTGGAGTTGGGTGTGGCTCATATTCTTGCAACATATCTTCGAAAGTCGGGCGTCTACAGATGCCCCCTCTTTGTTATTGGTTAGGTGAAACATAATTAATGACAAAGACAAAATGATGCAAAACTTTCGAAGATAAATGAAGCATTAGACTCAAAATTAATGTGTGCAACATGCTCACTTACCCCTCTTTAGAAAGGTTCTAAACTTAGATATATACATATTTAAGTGTAATGAAAAACCATACCTCAACAGGCTTGGTTGATCAAAGAGTGGATAACGTATATAAGGCCTTTGACATGGGGAATGGGAAATTACTTTTGGTGCTTGCTGAATGGTGACCACGTACCATCTCGAAATTTATGACAACTTCCCAGTCTCTTCAATAATTTTAAAGTGGCGCTTGAAGACCAAATGCGGTGTTTTCTACATGGTGCCCAAACCATCCTGGAGCTTATGACAACCTCCATGTCCCATCAAGACTTTGGATGGTGCTTAAAGACCGAATCTGGTGCTTTTTATAGAGTGGCCAAACCAGCCTGGGCTTATGATGACCTCCAGGTCCCTTCCTGACATTGATGCAATGCTTGAAGACTAAGAGTTGGCACTTTTTACATGGTGATTAGACCATCGTGGCGCTTATGTTGACCTCCAGGTCCCACCAGAGTTTTGGTGTGGTGTTTGAAAACTGAAAGCTAAATACTATTTGATAATTGATCATCGCAAAGGTCACAATGAGGTTTGGTTCTAAGATGATCATATGTTTGAAGATTACCCTGTAAGCTTATCACCCTAAACACATGCTAAGGCAATTTGAACTTACTCAAAATGCCTCAGCATTTTCTCAAAGTAGGGCCATGGATAGGATGAAAGGGGGATCTCTTTATGCAAGCAAGCTTCAGAGGGCAGATAATCCGTTGGAACGAGCATTTGAGTATTGTGTGAATGGGGAGAAAGGTGTTGGAACGACACCTGGTCTAAAGTCTTGGTTGGAGAAGGAGAAAGTGAAAAATCCCACAATCTTTTGGATGCAAGCAGCCAGCTGGGATTCACATTCAAAGATAACGATACATCATTATCTCCAAGAAGATCCCCATATTTTATTAGGTTGTTTGAAAGAGTGAGCCCAAAATGATGAAAGGCTACATCATGAGTTGCTTAACCGGGTAAGCTTCCTTGAATTTTAGCCAAAATCTTTTTTCTGTATATGTTTCAAGCATTAATTATATGTCACTTGAGGGTCTTTGACATGATTATGAGATGGGATTCGAAAATCAAAACAGAAGGCCTACAAGAGATGAGGGCCCGTCTATTCTTGGTCCATTACACAATGCAAGCCAGTGGCTGAAACGTCAAAGAGATTGTTGATTGGCATTTGGCAATTCTGATATGAGGCTAATCCAGTGCTAATACCATTAGAAAACTTGCAGGGAGATAAAAAACATATATATAATTTTTTTAAAGGTGTTTACCCTTTTCAAGATACAAGTATATAAATATGAGTTATTATTATAGAAATACAAATAACCCGAAATATTCAAATCCATGCCAGGAATTAGTGATAAAGTCTATTAAAATGAAATGAATAAAAAAGTGTAAGGCAGTTCATAACACCAGTATTTCTGGAAGCAACTCACTCTGATGAGAAGGGTGCGCTGAACGATCCACTGCTTGGAGTTCTCTGGCTGGCAAACATGGAAGCAATGCTGCCTCAAGTGACATAACGCAATTAATCATGTCATCTTTCGGCTGTTGGGGTTTCCGTCCTTGATCATGTTGTTGTTGGTTTTCAAATTGTTCTTGAGCCATATTTCATATGTGATATATGGTAATATAAGTAGCTGATTGTGTAGACTATGCACTTTATTTAAGTTGAAGTGTCATAACTATGAAAACAACAAAGATAACAAACAATCATGATACATACCCCAGTTATTGAAAAGTTCAGAGGAATTAAGACTTTCAAAAAGCTTACCATACAAATGAATAGCACTACCTAAGAACAAGTGAAGCATGCTACAGTTGAGAAAGTTCATCAATGATTTGAATCCATGTTGTTTTTTTCTTTCCTGTTTTTTTTTTTTTTTTTTTTTTTTTGCTATTTAAGGTGAATCCATGATTCATGTCACTCAAGGACAAATATACAAACTGTGCAGTATGATAATTAAAGGAAGAAATATAGAGAATCAGGCTTAGGCTTGGGCTTGGTGTGTTAGTCATTGACAATTGCAACACTATGTCCCAAGTTCGACCTATTGCTAGACTACCCCCCGCACCCCCAACCCACCACACCAACCCATGTGCACACGCACATGCATACACACACACACACAAACAAACACACACAAAATTGTGAGGGCACATGTGTTGCCAGTGGCTTATGACCACATAACAATCAAAAATAGAATGTCGCGATAAAATAAAAATTGTACATGCTGTTAATTTTTGTAAGCCACCTCTTACGGCTTCAAATACTCTTTTCAATGAGAAGAAAGCAAGCAAGCTATTACTTATCCCAAAAAAAAAAAGGCAAGCTATTCAATGATTAAAAGGAAAAAGTTGACAAGGATTGAATTTGAAAGCATAACGAAGTTTAGCTCCTCTTTAAATTTAAGACAAAGATCGGTATGAATGAAATTGAATTTAAGGCATGGGACGTTTGAATTCATCAAAACATGTACAATAATGCAAATTTTCCAAGTAGGTCTAATAAGAGAGGAATGGAAGTCAAACCCCAAACGAGCTAAATCAAGGTGCACAGAGCCGGGGAAAAATGCCCCTTTTCTCATAGAATTACTTAACATTTGTCCAAGTGGATCATTAAACATTGGCAACATATAAATAATTTTCCAAGTAAGAAGAATCAAATTGCATAAGCCATATAATTTCATAGAAGATGTACAAATTAGTGCCTAGAGGAACGAATTTGAACATCATTTTCAACATTGCATCTCACATGAGAAATCTCAATTATTACAACAATTACAAATGCCCCTTCATCAGCTCACAATTTATCCATGTAGCTTTAGTCTTTATTGTGGTGGATTACATTGCCCATAAGTTACTAAGATTGAGGATCCACAGTCATATAATTTTATATCAAATCAGGTTTTGAAAACTAGACCATCAGGCTCTAATTGTGATGCTTTCAGATGATCTAAGTGAATCAACCTCCCATTTGGAGTTTCCCAAAATGAAAAAGCATGAGAATGAGAACAACAGGAACCCAAAATCAACAGATTCTAATAGTGTAGTGTAGTGTGGTGTTATAATAAATAAATAAATAATAAATATATATATATATATATATATATA